CACACACACACACACACACACACACACACACACACACACACACACACTTACCTGTCAGTGTGCAGCAGCAGGGACCCACAGGAGCCTGTCACCACTTAACACACTCATATTGACACAGGCAGGCAGACCAACAGGCAGTTCAAACATGCATACATAACACTAGACGGGAGCACTACCAAGACAAATATACTGCAGCAACGAACAGGCCAATCCGGCGGCTAGGCTAGGCCGGACTAGCCCCCAATTTGCATGATAACCGGCAGCCGGTGCGCAGGAGTCTCCTAATGCGTGTGTGCTGAAGAGCAGCATACATTAGCAGGGACGACTCTTAAATCATTTATTAAACAAATGCAGCGGCTTTTGAATTTAACAGAGGATCTAACAAGTGGATTTCAGGCGCACTAAGAATCACAAGTGTTCTCTGGCCAGGTGATGGTCTTACAAGCAGGCAGGGCCAAGACCGGCTCCAACTGTGCTCCTGGACTACTGTAGTGTGGTTCTGTGCCCTGCAGGCAAGCCGTGTTAAATAACTTGCTTCCAGTTCTGTTTCTCTTCTGCTCTACTTCTCTGCCTCATCCGCTCATCTGTTTTATATTTTTACATCCGTCATGTCTCTCTCAATCCTTATTTCTGTTGATGTAAGATCAACAACCAAAGAAACAGGAAAAGGGGGACATTTAAATCTGCATAGATTCAACTTTAAGCCAAATTCTTACAGTGTCGTCTCATCCTCTTTGAGTTCACCCTCTCGCATATTCAGAGAGCTGTATTCCCAAGAGAGAGAGAGAGGGGGGGGGGGGGGGAGACCTGTGAAAATCTCCCATGTTGTGATATTTTGGGGGGGAGGGAGGCTGGTGGCGAACAGGCCCGCAGACCAACACTCCCCTCCTGTGGCACTGCCAGAGAGCTGCACATCCCGAACGCCAACTAGACACGCACAAACATAAACGCACAAACACAAACAGAGACAAAGGAGCACTCACGCTCTCAGATACGGAGGCCTTTTCCTCGCAAACTCGCTCAGATGGGCCACGACGCACGCGAGCACCGAGCTGGTTTGAGCCGCTCAGCGCGCTCTGCTGCGTGGAGGTAGATAAGACAAAATAGACAGCCCCCCTGCCGCTACGCTGCACACTCGCGGCCCTCATTACCGAGAGCAATATGCACGGAGAGATACTCAGGATGAGAGAGAGAGACAGAGACAGAGAGAGAGAGGACATGCAGCAAACAGAGTGTGCAGAGCTTAGTTCTTAAAGAAGGCGATAGCCTAATTTCTCTTTCTGAGGGTCAAGCCTTTGATAAGAGGAGCTGAATTGCTACCAGAGTTTCTTTCATCAATTCTTCTAACAGGCATCGTTTATACGCTACCATAGGCTGAAAAATAAAAATAACTTCAGAATTGTCTCGATAATGGCGTCGTAGTGTAGCAGAGCCTGCTCTAGAACTAGGTGGACGACATCACTGGGTTCCCCCGGTTAAGAAGAATTAGGAGTTGGTTTTCTAAAAGCGTTTACTGTATCAAATGTCATTCGTGTTTTCACATTCAGAGCATCTATTGAGATATTCAAATGAAGCTGCAAATGTCTGTCGGCAAATGTTGTGCCGTCGGCAACGTTAAAAACAAATATTAAAAAAATACATTTGGACTTTTGGACTTTACAACGCGTGTTATCGGAAGTGTTTGGCTCCCACAAGTCAGAAACAATCCTACGCAGCCACCGCTGGAAACTAATCCTTCAAATAGTGCAACACTAATAAAAGCGTTGCCTGATCTTTGTCTGCAACTGTGCAGAAAAACACTGGCATTGAACACATCGACTACACGTGCGAATGTTGGTTTAGAAGAGTGCAACTGACCTTTAACTGTCTCATTTTTCTCCCAATTTTCTGACACAACACTGGATATCTTCTCTTACATCCGTTGATAAAAAATAAAAAAAACCCCCCCTTTGGTAGTTCAAAGGGGGGGCTGGCTGGCTGAAAATTATCTCAAGTGAATCCAGGCTTCTGTATTGCATTATGTATGTTTTAATTCACTGTCACGGAGGTTTTTGCGAGCCGTCACTAATCTCTTACCTGACTGTGAGGTGTGTATCCATGGAAACCGGGGTTTAAAGGCTCATTGTTCTGCAAGAAACAACAGGAGGAAAGAGAGCGGTGTGAGTGGATGCAGTGCACGTCCAAAACCAGTGACATGTACTCTGAGTCACAACATCAGTAAGTGGAGGAAGAATGAAGAGGTATAATTGTCACAACTTGTCTCTGCAATCTAAACGCCCGACTGACCGCCAGGGTTGGAGAGAAGCACCGGACAGATGCTGCTAGAATATTCAAGTGACAGTGAGCCAAAGAACACGTTAACGTGAATACGGGGTCTTTGTCTTTCCAGTGCCCACGATTATGACAAACTAAACTGCTCAGTCAGCAGTAAGATGACACTTCCCTGAAGGAAAAAGACAGAACAGTGAACCAAGTTATATCAGCGGCATGACTGGTGAACCGCTACGGCAGAGCGTTCACAGCCAGCCATACTAACCAATTGAAATCCACTATCGAGCCCCCCCCCCCACACACACACATCCCTCTTCGACCCTGCCCCAGAAACCAGTGTTGTGGTTAATTGCTCTGTAATTACTTTTAATTAGATTATTTCTGTCTCTCTCCATCTCTTTTTCTCTCTCAACTATTATTTTCCCCCTCCGTGCCATTTTTTTGCCCCAGCGAGATCAGCCATTGTTTGCGGCAGAATTAGTTGAGGAGGAGGAGAAGGAGGAGGCAGAAGAAAAGACAAAGAGGGGGAGCAGGAGGAGGACTGGAACAATGGGGGAAAGTTAACCAAACGATATTTTGACAGCAGAGAGAGCGAGAGAGCGAGAGAGAGAGAGAGATGACACCGGCACATACAGCCTGCTGGAAGGCCTCGCAGAGAAAACATGACCGCCTAGCGAGACTCATGCCTCTGCTCTCCTCGAGGGATGAGTCTCACGAGGCGAGAAGGGGGGGAGGAGTACGAAAGAAGGTCTGAGGGGGGTGAAAGACATGTGTATGTGGTGGGGGATGGGGTGGCAGTCCCGTAGAAGCGGCTGATGTTTTCATTACATTTAATCTGCAGCACCGAGGAGCAGGCAAAGAGTTTCAAACCCACGTGCCCCCCCCACCCACACACCTCGGCCTGCATGCACTCGAGTGTGGGGCCGCGTAACGCCGTAGCAATGAGGAGGGCAGATTTGGCTCTTTGAGTGTCAACCGGGTTAACCTCCTGGCCCCGACCTCGAGCTGCCGCCTGAAGGAAATCACTTCCCGATAGCATTCATCCAGCCAAGTGTCTGAGACGGAGGGCAGCGCTCGTCCAAACACACGGACACACGGCTGTCGAGGCCGACCCCGAAGAGCGGGATCACGCAGTGGAACTCTTTCAGAGACTAGGACTTGTAATTCTGTTGTGCAAGTCCAAAAACAGATGTGGTCGATGGTGCATGGATGAATGAGGGAGTGTCTAGACGGAGCGGGGTGGAGGGAGAATGAGAGCGTGAGGTTAGATAAATGGCCTCGATGTACACAATAGGTAAGAATGAGAAAGAAATCTGTAAACTCTTGTGTGTGTTTGCGTCCAGACTAGAGCCCCCCCCCCCTGAAACAGCCCTTTCTTTGTCTCCACTCTCCGCTTCCCGTTTCATCTGGAACCAATTTCCCCCTCGTCGCTCGTCACCAGGGGCGGGGGGGGGGGGAACACTCTCCTTGGTGCGCCGCAATTACAGGGGAATGGACGGGCTTACACTCAGCAAAATACCGGCTGTGTGTATGAAGCTGCTGGTGCTCCACCGCGGCACAGATGGAAAGGCGGTAGAGGCAAGCTGTTCGGAGCAGCGTTGCTCAAGTCCACAAAGCCTTGGGCAATGTCAACAGGAACGGGAAAACTCTTCCTATTCTAAATTATTTTTTTTTAAAAAGACTCGTGTTGGGAGTTACCAACACTGCATTTCAAATAGGACTGAACGGACATGCTGGTTTCGGTGCACCAAAGAGTGGCGCTCAACGGTGTACTGAAGGGCCACCGAAGCAGCTGAAAGCAATGTGATAATTCAGCTCTATTGCTACAAAATACTACAATTGTAGCGCGGGATTAAAACGTTGAGACTCAGTGTTTTTATGGCATTTTGCAGTCAAAGCGAGGGTGAAGGCCACGAGCTACGTAAACTGGGAGAAAAAAAAAAAAAAACTGGAACCAAAATTAAACCCAACCATCAAATTATAGAGTTGGTTCTGCAGTGGACAGGCTGGAGAGAAGAAAGAGGAGGAGGAGGAGTTTAGGTAGAAGAGCAGAAGGAGGGAGAGGAGGGTAGAGTTTAGCAACATCTGGAATCAATCTGTCTGCAACAGAAGGGGGAGGGGGGGTGGGGGGAATAGGACAGAGGAGAAAAGAGAGAACAGAACAAAAATAAGGGCAGAGACAGACGCACAAAGGAGGTGGAGGAATGTGGGGAATAAGACGGCCAAAGCCAAGAAAAGGGGAGAGAAATATAAAGCAGTCAAACATTGGTGAAATGGAGACAATGAGTCATAAGTGAGGAATGCCATGTGATTTATATTTTTTTAGCGGGTGGGGGAAGGGGGTCTGAACTTGATACCTAGTTTTTTTTTCTTGTTTGCTCGCGGTGACACACACACACACACACACACACACACACACACACACACACACACACACACACACACACACACACACACACTTTGCTCCATGGCTCTGCTTTGTAAGTATATTACATGCCTGCTGCGTGTGCTGAAAAGCATACAAAAGGTGCCCTCGTTTATGCCTGCCATACTTCTTTTTTTTTTTAAATGAAAAATGATTACTGCATGCTGCACTAAAGCCCGTCCGGGCTGAAACCGGGGCTTTCCTGCTGCACTTCTGCAAGTTTCCATTAAGTCAATTCCATATACAGTTGTGTGAAAAAGTGTTTGCCCCCTTCCTGATTTCTTATT